CCTCGCTGGCCCGGGGGGGGGGGGCGTTTTTCGCCCCCCCCCCTGGCGAATATTTGCGATAACTCCCGAACGCTTAGGAATAGGAAGGCGAAACTTTCAGTACCTTTTCTCCCATCAATTTGACATCTTCTGAAGTAAAAAATTTGGACCTAGCCCCCTTGATGACGTCACAAGGTCCATTTTTCTAGACCCCTGCACGGCAAAAATCGGCGTCACAGACGCAAACTTCAAATAGCTGCTAAAAATAGAGTTTTAGAGATAATAACAAATTACGAGCACGGCTGTGTAGCGTTTGACCTAGAGAAACATAGAAAAATAGTTTTGGTGACCTGAGGTCAGAGGTCAGGTCAACGACCCCGAAATGTGGTTTTAGTTTTTCGCAAATAACTTCGACAAAAATGGTCCTAGAGCTACGGCAGTGGTACCATCGCATTCGCCTTGTCAAGCCGCGTCGAATGATATATATTTTGTTCGGAAAAGGTCAAGTTTCATGTTGACCTCATGTGACCTCGAATGACCTCTGGTTGACCTTGACACACGAAAGGTCGTTTATGATGGATTTGTACCCGCTGATCACGAATCTGGCATCTATTTTCCTCTAAGCCTTCATTTAGAGCTTCCGGATGGCAAAATTGTCTTATTTATTATTACTAACTTGAATCAGAGAAATAGCCTCTAGCAGGGATACTCTTCTGTGACCTTGACCTTTGAGCAGCCTTGTATCGTAAGATGAACCACAAATAGGGAACTGATAAGCCTCAAAACATTTCAAAACATCTTGGAAGTTAGCACGCAAGATGTGCGAAAAAGTGCCAAGTTTGAGGTTAATGTTCAGCGTGACCTTGACCTTGACCTTTGATTTGGAGCACATTTTCAGAATCCTCAGATTCTCTTCTTTCGTTTGACACCCAATTTTGCCGGTTTGATGCAGCCTGCCGTCCTCTAGAAGGCTTACTTTGAGATCACTACACATGTGCCGGTTTTGGCCTTTGACCTTGACCTCTGACCTTGAAAATTGACCTGAGGTCAAAAATTTTAGGTGCATTAGAATCGTCTCGTAAGGACTTTTCGCTTTGTATCGCTTTTGTTTCCGTAGCTCCCTTATTTACGGAGTTAGACAGGGGGGCGAAAAACGCCCCCCACCCCCGGGCTGCGGTGGTTGGGATTACCCCCCGGGCCCGGCCGGGTTAGGGTGGGTGTCAAGGTCACCTGAAGGTCAGGTCAGGTCATTGACCTTTGGTGACCTCGGGTGACCTCGGTTCACTTTTTCGAGTTTTACATGTTTCTTGGCTAGTTTTTGGAGCTGAATTCGAATTTAGCAACCATTTGAACATTTACGAAGTAGTTTTGGTGCCTGCGTAACATGTTACGAAGCTGTCAGAGGCGGTTGACACGTACTACGAATACCCGTCACGACGCCTACTGGTTGACCTGACCTGACCTGACCCGACCTGGTCTAAATGCTTAAAGACATCATCTCTGATCAAAACTAACACGATATTCGTGATCAGCACCCCGGAAATCCACATAGCAGCCACACTTTACGACTTTCTAACAGGTCCCGATTTTCTTGGTTTTCGGGTCATTGACCTGACCTGGAAGGTCACCCGATGACCTAGAACCTTAAAATTGGGTATCATCGGCTCCCTCTCGTGACGGGCAGCACGCTCGTTTTTTTTTCCGCGAAGCTCTAGCTCGATCAGGGGCCAAACGCGAGTGGGGGGGGGGGGTCGTACCCCCCCCCCCTTGTGCCGTCGAAGGACGCAAAATGGCTTGTGCCGGCGAGGGTTAACCATGCTGCATGCATCTTTTGTTACATTACTAAGCAGAACATGCTAAGCGAGCCAATGTTATCGAACATTGTTTATAGTTCTGTTGACTATTAACCCGCGCCCATATGGGGTCTGCCGAGCAACGCGGTCTGATGGGGGGGGGGGGGCATTTTGGCCCCCCCTCAGATCTCGAGAACCACGCAACATAGCGACAAGCGGTAAACGGTGTTGGATAGCCCCAGCGGGGAACTACCTTGTGACCCAATTTCATTGACCTCGGTCAAACCGATGACGTCACAGGTCAGGTCAAAGGTCGAATTTTCACCGTTTACAGGCATTTCAAGAAATGCGTTGTAAAATCGAGTAAAATGCATTTCATTGAAAATCATCGATGGAGAAATGTTCTTCAAACACATATTTTGCTATTTGAGGTCACTGATACCAGGTCAGGTCACAGAGGTCAGGTCACTGGGGGGTCACAATATGAAAGTGTCGTGTGATACATGTTTCATGGTCCATTTTACATGACAAATGCGATTATGTGGGTCAGACAGACTTTAGGGCCAGCTTAGGTCACGTTTTGGTCAAGGTCAGGTCAAGGTCAGGTCAAGGTCAGGTCAAATTAGGTCAAATTTCAAAGTTGATATTTTTGCATAAAATGGGTATCGATTCGATGCAGCTCGTCACGGGGAGTTCAATGGTGGTCTCCGTTTTGCGCTACAAGGTCTAGAATTGCTAAAAATTGAGTTCAAAAATTTGACGTCATCAATTTTTAACAGTTTTTTCGCTATAACTTGGCCAAAAAAGAGGTATCGATCTTAAATTTGGTATGTATATCGAAGAGCGCAGGGATTATCACATATATTCCGGTTTTTTCAAAATTCGAAAATTTTTTGGAAACTTTTTGAGTTTTTCAAAAAAAAATCATTTTTTTGATTTTGGGGGGTCAAAATCCCAAAATTTCGAAAATCTGAGATAGCAGTTTTGTAGCGCTGTCTTTTCTCTACACAACCACATAAAGAACTTTAAAATTGCTTGTTAACTGTAGAATTGGTGAGCGTTTCAAGATGTCATGTTTTTTGCTCATTTTTGCTCGAACATGACCTCAGTTTGACCTCAATAACTCCTGACCTGAGGTGACCTATGACTTGAAATTTTGTGTGAAGGTGTCAAATTGATGCCCGGTAAGGTACCCAAAATTTGGCGGCGCTGCGCGCCGCCGTTTTCTCGCTATTTAAGAAAAACCACAGGGGGGCCAAAATGGCCCCCCCCCCCATCAGGGCGCGGGTTAATGAGAAATAACGCAAGCCGTATGTATGAGTAACCTGAAACAAATCAGCCCGGCATAAGAAACGTCGTTACCTAGTTATATAATGCGTATATAGGGATGAAAAGTCATTTAGTGTCGTCGAGCTGAAGTCTAGCATAAGATAACGTTTTGATATTTGGTAGACATCGGTAGTGATAGGTACTACCTACTTAAAACAAAAAAATATGAAAAATGTATAACGCATTAGTACAGTATTTCTATACAATTCCGTCATTAATTCCTTTCAGTCTGCACAAATGATGGTTGCAATGTACGTTTTACTGAATTTCGCTCATTCCGAAATCCATTGACGAGTTTCACATAAAGCTACAGCATTTCGTATCAGCGTGATATAGGTACTGACCCAGGCTACGCTACTATTCCCTCGCCCCGTTGGGGGCCATTTTGGCCCCCTGTGGTTTTTCCTGAATAGCAAGAAAACGGCGGCGCGCAGCGCCGCAAAATTTTCAGTACCTTCCCGGGCATCAATTTGACACCTTCACACCAAATTTTAAGTCTTAGGTCACCTTAGGTCAGGAGTTATTGAGGTCAAACTGAAGTCATGTTCGAGCAAAAATGAGCAAAAAACATGCAATCTTGAAACGCTCACCAAATCTACAGTTATCAAGCAATTTCAAAGTTCTTTATATAGTCTAGTAGACAAAAAGCGGCGCTACAAAACTGCTATCTTGGATTTTCAAAATTTTGGGTTTTTGACCGCAAAAAATCAAAAAATTGATTTTTTTTTGGAAAACAAAAAAAAAAATCCAAAATTTTCCGAATTTCGAAAAAACCGGAATATATGTGATAGTCCCTACGCTCTTCTATATACATACCAAATTTCAGATCTATATCTCATTTTTTGGCCAAGTTATAGCGAAAAAACTGTTCAAAAATGATGACGTCAAAATTTTGAACTCAATTTTTAGCGATTCTAGACCACGTACGGCAAAACAAAGACCACCATTGAACTCCCCGTGACGAGCTGCATCGATTCGTTACCCATCTTATGCAAAAATATTAATTTTGAAATTTGACCTAATTTGACCTGACCTTGACCTGACCTTGACCTGACCTTGACCAAAACGTGACCTAAGCTGGCCCCAAAGGCTGCCTGACCCACATAATCGCATTTGTCATGTAAAATGAACCATAAAACATGTATCACACGACACTTTCATATTGTGACCCCCCCCCGTGACCTGACCTCTGTGACCTGACCTGGTATCAGTGACCTCAAATAGCAAAATATTAGTTTGAAGAACATTTCCCCATCGATGATTTTCAATGAAATGCATTTTACTCGATTTTACAACGCATTCCTTGAAATGCCTGAAAACGGTGAAAATTGGACCTTTGACCTGACCTGTGACGTCATCGGTTTGACCTAGGTCAATAAAATTGGGTCACAAGGTAGTTCCCTGATAGGGCTATCCAACACCGTTTGCCGCTTGTCGCTAGGTTGCGTGGTTCTCGAGATCTTAGGGGGGGGGTCAAAATGCCCCCCTCCCCAACGGGGCGCGGGTTAAAGGCGGTCGAAACCGAAATATTATTATCAAATAATCCCATCTTACTGTACCTGGATGCAGGCACTGTATTTCATATGCACCACTTACCTCAAATGTGACGGGTCTGTTCAGGGTTTCGATCTTTGTCGCTGCATTTTCATTCTACCGTTGCTGCTGCACCTCAATATGGCGCAAAGGTCGCTCCTCAATCTTCCCCCTCCTTCCCTCCCCCGCTACCCCCGGAACACAACACTGCGCTGCTTGAATATCCCGGCCGACCAATGGCGAGCGTTCGTCACTCGAAACTCGACCAATCAGGTCAGAGTATATCCTCCCGCGGGCACGCCAGCCTCGAACCCGATCACGTGACCGCCTGGGGCAGGGGGCGGGCAGCTCGAGCCTAGACTCGGGCGCTCTGTAGCAGCGCAGCTCTGTCAGAAGGGTGAGGGGGCTGCGGCGCTGCAGCATCAGTTCCAGTTGTGTTACAAACCGGAGACAGGTAGGGGGGAGGGGGTAGAATGTCCGGTGTTGACAACATTGAAACTGAACTGTCACGGCCAGAAGTGGCCACCGGAGTGACCTGTCTCACGAAGGAGCCGTCCACAGTAGCAGCCTGGTGTAACTCCAGGAGAAGCAGCAGCACAAGGTGAGCGGCAGTAGAACTCCTGATGGCATGTCTGATCAGCATGTCAGATGTCAGCCGTCAGTCATCCGGTGGCGCTGTCGCCCTAGCAATGAAATGTTATTACGATTGGATCGGTTCTAACTGGGGCATTCCACGATAGATCGTACCAGGCCCGTCACCCTCATCTCTCAGATTTGAATGAAAATTGGTACAAGGGGTAATCATAGGCTCCAAAAACACCTGCCAAAATATCAGACTTCTCAGATGAAAACTTTTTGAGTTACATTGCATAATATTTTCTTAACTTCAGATTGTAAGGGTGAGTTTGATGAGCTATAACTCAAAAACGAGCTAAGCAAGCAACAAACGGTAAACAGTTTTGAACTAACGATGAATCAAAGATTAATACAGTATTTTTAAAATTGGAAAGAAAAGCTTTACATATTGAAAAAAGTCGTAGTAGTTTTTTAAATTGTCTATAATGGCCCTTGGGACCAAAATTTTTGCCATTTTTATTTCTTCAAAATAAACCTCAGGTCCTTTAAAATCGACATGCAAAAAATTAGAAAGGTGTTCTTTCTATAAGTTCCTCATTTAAATGTATACAAAATGGGTTTCCGGGGGTTCGGTACGACCCCAGCTCGCCGTTTCGCCTCTAATGGAGCTAGAACCTTGCGGAAAAAACGAGCATGTGCGCCGTTACAAGATGCATCGAATGATACCATATTTTAAGGTCTCGGGTTCATTGGTGACCCCTGAGGTCATTTCAAGTGACCCAAATTACGGGTCCGGTTTTTGATAGATAACTTCGCAACAAATGGTCGCAGAGCCGCGATTTTAGCATCTTTGTGTTTGCCTAGCTCCGGCGCGTCGAATGGTATACTGTTTGTTCTGGTGAGTTCAGCTTAAGTCGCTGACCTCGGGTCAGCACACTGCCGTGTATTTGGCTCCGCTCCCCGACCGGGCGGCCCAGCCGGCAGCCAGCCGCCGGGCATCACGTGACCGCCCCGAGTCTGCGGCAAAGCCAACCAGCGCGGCGCTGGACAAACAGCGCCGCCACAGAGATGGTTAACAGTCCGGTCAGGCCACGAAGCTGGGTGAATGAGATCATATTGCACATCATTCGATTCGCAACGTCTTCCCGAGTCCATTGGTAGTTTTCCCGTCTCTCTAGCTCAATTTGATCGAGAGTTATTGACGAAAAAAACTCTTATGACCGTAGTGACGTACGAATGACTTCACGCAAGGTCAACAATGCAAAAGTGAGGCAAAAATGACTTCAATTGAACTTTCAGTAAACCAGTGATGTCACTAGGCAGCTTTACCACACCATTTGTAGGCTCTCTTCCGAAATCACAATTAGAGACCATTACGGTGACGCAAAATAAGTACATTTATAGAAAGAACACCTTCCTAATTTTTTGCATACTACTTAAAAATGATCCAAAAATGTTTTTAAGTAAATAAAAATTCAAAAAAATTTGGTCCCAAATGCATAAAAATGCAAATGAAAGGAAACTCGAGGTGTTATATATCAAAAATAATATAAATTTCAAAATTTTAAAAATGCATATTATTCTTTGTTTCAATGCAAGTTCAATGCCGTATAGCATTTGGCATTTGGATTATCCGTCTTGGAGTTACAGCCCGCTAAACTTGGGGCTGCAACGCAAGATCCAAAACATGTTATACACTATAACTCAAAAACTACTCATCTGATAAGCCTGAAATTGTTACAGGAGGATTCAGAGCCCCTGATTACCCCTTAGACCAATTATCGTTAAAATCCGAGAGATGAGGGTGTCAAATTGGAAAAAAGTGGTACGATCTATCGTGGAATGCCCCAACTTCTAAACATAATTGAAATGATCTTGTGATGACAAATGAAACATTTTTATCACCAAGTACCCAGGAAAATGTATTTGAGCTGTTGCCGTTTTTGTTAAAGTAAAAACGTCTGTTTTTTTCAACGGTTTTACTTTTCTACGCTAAACGTTTTAACGGTTGCGGTTTGCTAAAAAAAAACATTGTGCCTTTTTGATTTGTGATCCTTGATAAAGTTGCGGTGGATGCATGAGCAAATAACGATGTTTTACGCGAATTAGTGAATTCGTATTATGAAATGATACGGATTATTCGTTTGATCAAGAGATACATTTCCGATTACATGAAGCATTGTAATCCATTTGAAACTCATTTCCATTGCTTAGATCCGCAATATCTGTATTCCTCATAGCTCTTATGCTTATAATGAGTGGTTGAAATAAGGTGGTAGCTGCAGGTAAACGTGATTTCCATTCCCTCGTCAAGGTTCCCTCTCAGAGCCGTCAAGCTACATTTACCCGAGCTTGCTCACCATCGAATTCGTCATCCACTGACATTTTGCCGCATCTCCCCAGGTGCGATGCCTCGTGCGTATAACTGGCTCCGCCGTTTGGCTGGGCGACGAAATGCGTCATCAATGATCAATAAACCATGCACCGGCACCACACAGCATCATTGACGCTACCAGAGGCGTCATCAGAAGCGTCACCGACGACGTCATATCAAAGGTCAGCTCAGTGGGATTCGTGGGTTGGTGTATTCAGCAGGTATATGTTATTAGTCAATTTTCTATTCATATTCATATGACCTATGTTTTATTCAACCCCATATTCATATTTGCCGTTTTCACGACGGACTGTCTGGCGAATGCACCTAATTTGACCAAATCTGCACCAAATGTTTTTTTTTTCAATAAATAGCTTCGTATCATAAGCTCATTTCAGTGTTTTACTCGGAAATTATGTCTGACTATTTAAAGATAAAGTATATAAGCAGTGCATCTGTGCAGCCGAAACTGATAAATTTTAAGAAAGAAACACCTTACCTAATTTGACCAAATCTGCACCTAATCTGCCCCTAATGAGTACCAGGTGGCCGTCTTGAAAACGGTTACTTTTTACCCAATGAAACTCGTGCCGGAATTTTTAAAACAAACTATACTATATAAAGGTAATAGCCACGCGTTATGTGCTGTTTTCAATATTCTATTTTACTGCTCATGGTTATTTGGCTCTACGGAGGTTTCACGGTTATTGAAAACTACAACATACAGCCGGCGCTCGTTGGTCTTTTCCAAACCATCTATCACCGCACTATTAATTCATTGGTTGCCGAGGGCGGTTGCGTTTCATGGTTGATGCACCCTGCACGTGCACACATCCAGCTCAAATAATACGGAATCGTGGATCACAGAGTGTACTAGCCTTGCATCTAGTGAGGCTATTGTGACAACTTTGGTCTTGCGTTCCTCCTGTTTTTAGTTACTTTGTCATCGTCCATTGAACAATGTGACTGACTACAATCATATACTACAATCATGGTACTACAATCATGATTGCACTTAGATAAGCGAAGTCGGAAGTCCACTCGTTTTGTTCCATGCTACCCATTCGTTGACTGAGTCGTCACTTGCCCTTCGATGGCTTTCTTCGTCTGTTGCGTCTGTCGGTGGGTTTCATGTTATAATTTCAATTGCCATGTGTTCATTCATAGCTGTTCGGAGGACGGATTATATGCATTTGCCACATTACATACGTTTTCATGATTATCTTGCTCACATCATATTTTTCTGCCACATTTGATCGACAACAGAATTTGAAAAGTGAAGATGTATTACAACTCTACGCAGCGCATTTTAGGTACATAGGTACCAGATACATTGAAGTGTACGTCATTCCATTTCCGATTTCGGTCGGATGATTTACGAATTGTCCATAAAATGAAACTGGATGAATAGAACCATATTTGTCAAGCCATTGACGAGCAGATTTCATGGCCACACATTCGTTTCCTCAATTTCAAAACCGTCTTCGTAGCCATGTGATTGCATCTTGGAGCGCCAAAACGGAAATGATATTTATGGAGTAAGCATGCCAGCCTTTGTCCGTTTGGATTGCCGTTTATTAGCATTCGTCTTCAAAAGTTGTCGTTTTCTCGTATCTTGGTCCACTCAGTCATCACATTTGCGAACGCAACTATTAAAAGCTTGAAGTGTTTGCAATTTTTTGCTGACCGTGATTTCTTCATTGTGCACTGTACACACCAGGGTTACCGCTGCTAGGGAAATTTCCCTTTTCTATGGAAATCAGCGAAGATCTAGGGATATATGGATTTCACTCGAAATCTAGGGAAATACCACCAACCCAAAAAATTGTTGTTTTTGCCTGCTTCTGCGTTGTTCCATTTCGGGAGCGGCTAATTTTTTACATCAAAGTTTTTGTTTTGGCGCAATTTTTACAATGTGGCTAGCGCATATCACTCCCATTCGGTCAAACTGACGGTGCAAAATAATGCATCGACTCGTCTCTTACGCCAGCACTACCGCTACCCATACAGCAGTTTCCCGCGTCCTGCAACACACCACAATTTGCGATATATCACGCAATTATATTATACCACATACAGTAATGAGTAATTTGCTATATGCCAGCAGTTTCATCAGAATCTCTTACGTTAACGTAACAGAATGTAGTTAATTGCTGTTTTAGGACGCAGCGAGTATAACCATAAGCGGCGGAACGGGGAAGGCACCGGGGCACCGTGCCCCTTTGATTTTGGCATTTTAACATTAGCCCTATGGGCGTTGCATGGAAAGATGGGACCAAAAGTCGTCAGTGACCCCCCCCCCCCCTTAATTGAAGGTGTTCCGCCGCTACTGACTATAACACGAATGGTTAAAATGAGGAAAGTACATCAAATTCCATGAAAATAACCGCATCTAGGGAAATTATTCTTAAAAAAGGGAAATTTTCGTGAGAATCTGGGGAAACCAGCGGGACGCCAGCGGTAACGCTGGTACACACTTATGAGTGGCATTAAATGTTGCAATGCTTGCGGTGCTCGACAAAGTTTGTTTGTTATAGCTGGTTCTGGCTTGTGCGTTTTTATCATTGTCACATCATCATCATATCCACGCGTGTTTTTCCGTTCATACATCTCCGCATCGCTCGCTCGCAATCTTGTCCGGCTCTGCCTCGATCGCCTCATTTCACACCCATTACACGTGTGCTGCAATTGTTGCCGCTTGCTACCGTTTCTGGTCATTGCTCTGCTTTTACCATCGTCATATTCAGCCATAATTATCAGCAGCTCAGCACAAACCAGCATTAGGCAAGGTAGCTCCGGAACGCGATTGTCACAAATCCGGAGCCGATAGGTTCCCTGGCTGACCCTCTGAGGGCCGGTAGGCGGGACCCCTGCCCCCCCCCCCCCGCTGGTCGCGGCGGCGGGGGTTCATCTGTGCCGGGACTCCGGAATGTGTTTGTCGCCGACTCTCCGCACGATTGTAGTTTTATGGTCATGGGGCCGACCCCCGAGTCGGTGGCTATTCAGGGGCCAGGTGCAGGTATGGGTCAGACGAGCGTCTCGCCTTGGGGCACGGAGAGGGGGCAGGCGCGGGCTGCTGCGGTGCCGGCACGGCGGGGGCGTCCGCTCCCTGTAGGGGAGGGGAGGGGCGGCACGGACGGTCCCGGGTCGAACTGGAGACGGCGGGCCCGGGCGGACCGGCCGGGTCGCGCGGTACCCACCCGCCGCTGCCCAGGGACGCGGCCTATCAGCCTGTGCAGCGGTTCACCGACTAAGTTGGTGACTGCGCAAGGATGCGGATTGCGGATATTGGTTTGCATTTTTGTAATGTGCTCCAGTGCGATTGTTTGACTGAATTGCCTCATCTTGCACTATCGATTCACGGTGATCTGAAGTAAGGGGAGTTTGGCTTTGGGATTCAGCTCTTCCTCGTCGAGATTTGCATTAGTATTCTCCTTTGTCGCTTTGCGGAACTGCGCGATATAGCCGTTTTTTACACGCTACGACTGCCATCATCTGGACACCTAATGGCTAATCAGACTTTTTTCTACATCTACACATTCGCAACTATAGGGCGCCGCTGCACTCTACGCTTAAGCTGATCTTATCCGGCATTGACACTACTCTATTGACACATAACATCCTGCAGGAGGATGAGCAGCGAGCACCGTACGGTGTCTGCTGTGCTCCTCTGCGTTCTTTGGTCTGCTGCCTTGGTACCTACATATTCGGAGCCGGATGTGTCAGTGCCTTTGTGTGCGTGACATGACCACCTTTATCGCTGACATTTGAATTTAATTTGTTGCTTGAGGCTTTTTGCTTCACAATTTTCCACCAATGCGTCATTTGTTATGGTTTCCCCCAAACATTCTTGGCTAGGTTTCATTCCAGGCGAGTTGTTTTGAATGTGTCGTGATTTTTGTTTTCTACTGTTTTTCTTTTTATCGTTCTGTCGGCTCATGCCTATTGCCAGTTTTGTGCTTTTCGATTTTCGCGATTGCGATTTTTGCCTTTTATCATCCACTAAATGATTATCATGCAAGGTTCGCATCGTCGTCGTTTTTCTCATGTTCTCCTCTTACTGTTTTTTACTTTGCTGCAAAAAAGCCGTAATGTCTTTAATGACACGCTTTCTTTGGTACTTATGTGTGCTATTGCATTGCACTTACATCTGCATTGTTCCCTACTGAGCCGTTTATTTGGCCACATGCCCGGTTTTTAGGTGAATATTTCCTCCTTACACCACTGCTTTCTCTCAAATGAATTTCATGGATTACTTTCTGGTTCCAGTGACGTTTTGAGTCACCAGGAAATTATGGCCTACCATAGACTACTCTGTATGAGCAGTCTATAGGCCTACAGATCCAGAGACGTTCTTCTTTACACTCGCACTGCCGCACACTCACGCCCGCTGTGTGACGCTCTCTCGCTGCAGTGTAGTGGCTCTCGGCAGTACACGGGCCGATTACCTAGGCATGGCATGATTTGAACTGTTCCATATGTCGTGTTGGCGGTCAGCCACCACCTCCCGACAGTGACTGAGCCTTTGTATATACCAACCACGAATTGAGAAACGGAGCTGTTCGTCAGCAGACAAGTCGCTGGCGAGGCTGGCTGGGTCGTTTCCTATCTGGTCGCCGATGAAGGAGTGCCTCATAACGAAGGCGACATGTGCTTAGCCGGATTATGGTGACTTTTACATCCATATTGATTTTATTCGTACTCTCTTTACATCTAATTGGCCGTTTTCACGACGGAATAGCAGGCATCTATTTAATCCCCATTTAATCCTTTAGTTCCTCAGGAATTTTAGTAGTTCTTTTTAGTAGGTTCCCCAGCTTTCGAATGAATGGTGCGTTAGTTTGCTATTTTTCTATTAAATATCACATCGATTTACTTTATCTAAGGATTTATCACTAATATCAACATAAAGCGTAAGCACAATTATAAGATTATGAAATTATTAAATACTAGTACAATAGTTAAAAAAAAGATACTGAGTTGCCAGGCTACAAAGAATATATTCATTTATGGCGCACGACAGACATTTAGAAAGCAGCGCCCTGTTTTATTGCACGCTGCTAGCCGCTTCCATTGGGTTTTGCAGGCCGACGTCATTGGTCGTTACACGTATGATGTCACGCGACTTGTGGCCTGTCACGGCTCTTTAATGATCTCCACTAAATGAATGCAACAATGGCCTTTTAAGTTGATCTCTGTGGCCATCTGTCTATGGAGCGACCAATATGAAAGTTGGGTGAATTTACCGGGGTTACATGACTATGAGCAAGCAAATGTGTATCAGGAATGGATTTAGGTGGAGAATTGCGCTGGACCATGAGTGCTCGAACGCTCCCAATTCCACGCCGGTTTGGCTTTGGAGCCGAGACAGACGATGCGGGTCCAGGTCACCGCTGGGGTAACGGTGGATTGGCTGCGCCCGAGCACCCGTAACGCGGCACAATTCTCCATCTATGGATTTTCCTATTCGCTCAGCATTGTGATAGGCGTTCGTAATAGCATTTACTCTGCTCATGTACCTATCCCCGGTTATTTAAAAGAAGTTTTTGTGGGAGAATATCACGGCTTTAGGTACTCGGTGGCCCTATTCACGACTTTCAAAGAATGCTCCGATAACTAAACACCGCACAGACCTACTGCATTAGTGAATCTGACAGAAGGTCTGTGGAATTACATACCCCCTCACCACACCCCTAAAAACTCATCCAGTGTCCAAAACCACTTTTATCGACTCGCAAAAAAAAACACACACACACATACACACACAAAGCATGGGGCATGTCAGCTCTCAGTTCATTTATCATTGTCTTTACCATGGTTCAATTGCATTGCGCGATTTAAAGCACGTGAGTGCCTATATAGTATATATGTAGAAAATAATATCTACAGCAAAACATCCAAAATTACAAAGGCTACAATGCTTAAAAAGTAGGTTCATCAAGGAAGCCCATTTTTACTTGCGTTGTGTTCCCAACCATGCGATTCCAACGCGGGCTATTCGCAACGTCTGTTAAGGCACGTTAACAACTGACAAGCCGCCACCGCTGCCACTTATTCATAGATGGTTGATATCGCAGCTTGGGCGTCAGCAGCGCGGCCCACAACGCGTCGGCGCCAGCGCACGCAGCTGTTGGCACTCGGCAGCCGGTGTTGCGACTTAACGGCCGGCCGGCCCCATGAAGGAGAAGCTCTTGGTGAAGCTTTGTGATCGCCTCATAGCCGCCTTGGATGTCATCTTTCTTGGCAGATCCATCCGTTCAGATGGTGCGGTGCAGTCTGGATAAAGGACGAAGTCCAACGCCGCTAACCCCGCGACCGCCACCCCACAACGTGGCCGCAGACCGAACGGGCGTGAGGGCCGTAAGGGCCACCCCGCCATCCGGTAGGTGGCTGAGCAGCCGGGCGCAGCGGCGCCTGGGCGGCGGCCGCGCTGAGATGAAGTCCCAAACCGCCATGTCGCCATCACCGCCATCACCATTGCACCATTGCTGCAGCTGTTCCCAACCGCCTCAATCCCAACCGTTTTGCTGGCAAATCCCAACCGTTTTGCCAGCAGTCGCGCCGCGGAATGGCAGAAGCTCCAGAGTAGCCTCCAGCGCCCCTCTCCGCATGTGTGCAGGTGCACTGCGCCGCCGCCGGGTCCGACGTCCAGGCAGAACATGATATTTCCATGCTGCTCCGACGGTGGGCTGGTCTTGTTTGGGCGTTCCTCCACTGTGACGTCGGTCACGCCTGCCCCGGCCAGGGCGCAGAGGCCGACGTGTCACCATCCGGTTGCAGTCCTCAGTCGGGTCGCAACGTGTACCTCTTCCGCAGCGTGGAGCGCGCTCCCGCTGGGCAGCGATACAGCCAAAAGTAGCATAGCATGCGGGCGGCCAGCGCTGCGCCGGACAGCGGACCCATGCCGGGGGTATGCCGGTCTCGGCCATTAGCGGGGTCGTCGGGGCCGAGGCTGTACATACAGCTGGTGACCGCGTGAGCCGCCAATCGAAGCTCACGGCTTATAAGCTCGACGCGGGCATCACACGCCGTCCCGATGGGAGCTCCACGACGCCGCCGCGAACTCCAGCGCGGTTCGCAGCGCGAAGACCAGTACGGACGGCCGGGGCAAACGGCGTGCGGGAGTCGCAGGCGACGTTCTGCGGACAGAAAGGGTTGGGCATAAGCTGGTCGGCAGGACACTCTTGAGCCGAGCCTTTGATGTAATTACAGATGATCCAGAAGCATGCACAAAAATTCATGACACACTATTCTCATTTATGTATTTGCTACATATGATATGATATACCAGCTCATGATCAGTGACGCATTCTGGGCAATATGTTCTAAAGTGAAGTAACTGAAGTTACAGCTTAAAAGCTTAAAAAAACAGCTTAAAAAAACACACACACACACCTTCGATAGCTTATGAGAATAACATGCCTTGTGTGCTTAATGCAGGAAAATATTTTTTCCACTTTTTTAGAAACAGCAAAAGAGTTGTCAACAAGCCATGTCAACTATCTAAACAATTTTTATGGAAACTGCTCTAGCTAGCTTAAAGTTCCACAACGTTTCCGGAGCACTGTACCCAAACTCAGTTCATGTTACAAGAAAAAACAGTAATAATGCCTCCTAATTTTGAATGAAATATAGGTATGAGTAATTTGATTTGGAAAGCAACAAATTTCCGCACATCATTTTAGCAAAATTACTATTTTCTTCAGCCATCAGGTTACACAAAACTATAGTAAACTTTATGATCTAGTTTACACAAAACCAAAGCCCCGATTTTAACAAATGTAGATAAAATTTAAACAATTTTAAAAAAATGTATCGTGGAGAAAATGAAAAGTGTAGATTTGTAAAGCCGGGATATTTCAATTTCACGGATTAGGCACTTAAAGAAATATCTTCACCTTTCTTTGAGCCACCAGCCTTCACCCAAGTTTTACACTAATGTAGTGAAGCAGACAATGTGGCAACTCAAAATTGTGATGGTTTGAGATAATTATGACGGTAAAAGAAAAAGCAACACAAGGTTCCTTACCCTCGTTTTTTCACATGGGTTCAGATGAGGCTTCAACTGTTGCCGACCTGAGGAGCTATAGGGACTTGAGCTTTCCAAAACTCAATTTCTAAGGGCACTGAGCAGTGTTTGGCTTTCACACGAATGCGATAGTAAGTTATATGAAGTTGACAAAGCAAGCAAAGCAAAGCATGATGCCCCGCGCGTCCGCCCGCGACCACGCCCCGCGTCCGACTCCCGACCGCCGCGTGACCCGAGGCGCCCGGCGGTCACGTGACCTACCGGCCGGGACTGCAAACGGCCTTCACCACCATTCTTGTATGACGTCATATCCTACTGAGGTGCTGATTGGTCGGAATTAGATACCTGAAGGTAATTATCTGCCGTAGTTATTTTTGTTTCATTGTTTTGCGTGTTTTCTTATATGAAATGTAATTAAAAAATTTGTCATATTTTAATCACCATTAAAACATAACTGAATAGGTATAAAAGAGAACTCGATATATACTTTCCTTGTTTTTAAGAATTTCGGAATTAGATACCCGAGGGAGCAAAGAGGGAGCAAGTTGCCACGCTGATTTAATACCTCATAGTCGAAAGGTGGGCTACTAGAACCAAAAATTGCTGTGTTTGTAAATAAATAAGTGATTTGAGGGCAAAAAATGCCCGGATTTAAACTTCTAAAATTATTTTGAACATAAAATATTTCAGTTTGAGGCATGTTAAGGCCTCTAAGGGTAGGTACTTTTTAGGTATCAAATAAGTTCCTCTGCGAAAGTTCCGTCGTGAAAACGGCCATTATGTATTTTATCGCTTTTGTTAACGAATTATGAAATAAACTCGTCATACTCTCGCTTTCTCTCCCGCAAACACTTTCTCCAGCGTCTGTTGCCGTAGTTTGACGTTTTGAATAGTTTTGTTCGTCTTATCCTGGCTCTCAGAATTTGTTATTTTTAGAACTGGCCGTTTGGACACCGATCAGAGCGTGGCACATACACAATTTACTGACTCCTTCCCTCGCAGACAGCCCACTGGAGAACCGAGCTCAGTGAGCGCGCACGCAGTGCGCGGTGACCCGTCAGTCACACCGTGTCCCGCCTCCAATGGACCTGCTATACAGCGCTGTAAAACTCTCAGCGACCGACTTGGGTTCAGAGTGTTCTCACATAATCGGCCAATTTTGTGGCATTTGCTTTGTTTCATCATGACCGACTCATTCATTTCCATTTTATAAGCAGATTTGTATTACTTTGATATTCTCGATACCCTTTTAAGTAAATTTAATTAAACTCGTTTTACGTTTCGAGGGTTACAGGACTTTTACTTCCGCACCTAGTACTGACAAGCTTACTTTGACATCAGAATTTCAATGTGTATATTTCTTCCCGAAACATCTGGATACATTTGATGCGAACCGCGACACTGACAATTTCACCATTTGACCTCACTCGGCCTGCTTTCCATCGCCAATCTTTGCCAAGGATCTGCGAATGTCTCTGCGCAGATGTCTGTTTGGGGGTCCTGTCAGCGTCAGGGCCACTCTGAAGATGCGCCTCACCACTCTGGCGTCTATATCGGGCCTGCTGAGCAGCTGGTCCTTGAGCTGAGCCGCCTCCGTCGCCGACCTCTCCGCCCCCTCCCTCAGCGCCTGGATGGTGGCGTTGGCCTCCTCCAGCGGGTTACGGGGAGCGTCGGAGGGACTTTGGCCCTCCTCCAGCTGGGTTCCGAGGGCGCCGGCGGGAGTTTGGCCCTCCTGCAGTTGGGTACGGATGGCTCCGGAGTTTTGGCCCTCCTCCAGCTGGCTCTGAAGGGTACCGGAGGTTTGGCCCTCCTCCAGCTTGCTTCGGAGGGCGCCGGCGGGAGTTTGGCCCTCCTCCAGCTGGGTGCGCAGGGCGTCGGAGGGAGTTTGGCCCTCCAGCTGCGCGCGGAGGGCGCCAGCGACGGTGTTTGCCTCCTCCAGCTGCGCGCGGAGGGCGCCGGCGGCCGCCTGGCTGTCGGCTAGCTGGGCGGCCAGGCCCGCCTGCCGAGCGGCGCCCGCCTGCAGCTGGCGGTGGAGGTCGCCGATGGCGGTGTGGCTGTCGGCCAGCTGGGTGGCCAGGGCCGCCTCCCTGGCGGCGCCGGCCCCCAGCTGGCCCTGCAGGTCGCGGACCATCTGCTGCACGGCCGAGCGCTCCCGCTTGATGGCGCTGAAGGCGTTCTGCAGGAGCGCTAGCAGGGAGCCGCGCACGCCGGCCGGCAGGTCGACGAACGGCGCCGGCGTGCGCAGGCCGGCCCGCAGCAGCTGGAAGGGCGCCGCGCTCGTCTCGTCGCGCGCCCAGTGGACGTAGCCGGCGCCGTGCTCCCGCAGTACCGCGGCGCACTCTGCGACCACCCTACGGCAACGGAGGGATTAATGTCACTCAGCGTCCTCCAGCTCTCGTTTGCTCAATGACCGAAAACACTGAATGATAATATTTTAAATTGAGACTATCTCCAATCAGATATTAAGACCACGCTAGTTAAAAACTAGACAACATAGGATTAAGATTAATTGTGGTTAACTGCATTATGTTCACTATTGCGCTCGATTTTGTTTCTGGCCATGCCCACTATCGTCTAAAAAATCATCTAAACATCCGTACAGAGGTGAAAAAGCCTTGCTACTCGCCTGTGTGGGTGGGCGCGAGCCATAGGAATAAAGAGGCAGCTTTGAGTATCTCAGATCACAGCTGATGCATTCAAAATCGATAACTTGGCCCTTTCCGCTAAAATCAGAGCTGTCTCCTCATAAAGGCCCACAACCACGGCACAATAATTTAACAGCGTCATCTCTTTGGAGACTGCTGGCGCTGAAAAATCCCGCCGGTGCGACAGCCGGTACGTTGTGAAGCGCCATAGACACCGCTAGAAAAACGGAGACACCGACGACAGCTCGTTCCTGCTCGTCGCCGGTCCCGCGGTAGCCGGGACCGGCGTGGCCTTGGCCGCTGCCGGAGTAGGGACTGGCTGACTGGGACGGGGGACGCGACGGTCACATCTGGGCTGTAACTGGGGTGAGTTCCATAACCATCAGACCGAAGGTCTTCGTAGGATCGTTGATAATTGGTCCAGACTACTGAAGAAAAGACAAGTGAATCAGTGACAATCCTTAACCCGCGCCCCAGTGGCGGTCTCAGCCAACTTCGCCCTAGTGAGGGGGGGCATATGTTACCACCCACCTCTAACTCAAAAACTAAGAGGGCTAGAAAGACGCGGTAAAAAGCAGTCGATAGCTCTCAATGCGTACGTTTGAAAGTATTTCAGTCATTTTTCACCTTAGAGCAATATTGGGGTCACCAGAGGTCATCAAAGGTCAAAATTTGCCAATTGTCATTATATTTTTCAGAAAACATGCTGCTATCTCAGGAACTATGGTAGCTAGAATAACGCAGGGAAGAGCAATCGATAGCTTTTGAACTCTTCTTTTGAAAAAGTCATTATCAATATTGACCTCAGGTCAACGGTTTGGCCTCCAGAGGGCAAAAAGTCCAAAAATAGCTGTTTTTACGAAAAGTGTTTTTCGACAATAACTTTCGACTACAAAAAGCCACGACATTTCTATTGCCAGAATCGTGTTCCTCTCGCCGAGACGCGTCGAATGAACTATAATTTGACCTTGAAAGGTCAAGTTGAAAATTTGACCTCAGGTCAAGGTCATGACCTTACCGGAAAAGGTCATGTTGCATATCAGTCGATGCGTCTCAACAAGGCAAACACAATGAGACCATCCCCAGCGTTCTGTCTCTTTCCAATTGCGAGTTATTGGCAAAAAACTGTTTGTAGCCTCAAGTGACCTCGGATGACCTGTCTAGAGGCTATCAGCAAAAATGACACCTTGGTCATCACGAGTGGACTAAATCATTGTGATTCTGAAATATTTGGACTGTTCCGATGCGTACACACGGATCTAGAGGCATTTTCATTTTTCTCCATTGACTTGTAATGGAAAGGTTTCGCCACTGACCTGACCTTAGGTCACGGATATAAAAAATCCGAGATATACAAATTGTAGGCGCCCATAACAGCATGCAATCCACCAAGTTTGAAACCTTTCTGACAAACACTGCAGGCTGGACATGATTGCAAACTTTTTTTTAGGCTTGGTCAGTTAACTTGACCTGGTGACCTGACCTGACATGACCTGGGGTCAAAAATTTCACACATTGTCCAAAATTGATGTACCAAAAGCTACCCCAAGCGGCGCGGCGCTACGCGCCGCGGTTTTTTATTCACACGCAAAAAACGCGACAGGGTGGTAACATATGCCCCCCCCCCCACTGGGGCGAAGGTTAAGTGATTTCTGATCGAACTGTATCAGGAAGTCAGGACGGGCCAGGAAGTCGATCAGACCGGTAGGTATTAATGATAGTTATTTATCGTCTGTTGGTGTGTCACTGGAATGCGGTGACTGGTGATGCATTATAAGGATCCAGAACCAGAAATTTTGAATGGCAATTTCTTTCTCTTCAATTTTGGCCTCATTTTCAACTTTATTTGTGTACCTAGTTACAAAGGTGATAAGAAAACGGCAAAAACAAAATGTGACACCTACTGTTTCCAGCTGACTTGTGAAAAAAAATGGTAACAGCTAGACATCGCGTAGGTGACAGCTTTTGAGTTTTATTCACGTCTGCATGTAAGGCCAGGTGTCCGTCGTGCACAGTGCAGGCGAACCACTAACCTGGTCATGTTCTGGTCCTGGGTGTGCCTGTCGGCGTGGAGCTGGGCCTGCAGCTCGCCGACCCGGCTGGAGACCGCGGCCTCAAACTCTGGCTTCTGGAGGTCGCGCAGGTCCACTCCGAGGACCACCTCTGGCACCCAGACGAGCCGGCCGCGCTGGTCACAGAGGCGCGCCGGGCTGAACGGCTCGGCCGGCGCCGCGGCGCGCGCCTCGTCCGCGCCGGGCTCCATGGTGCGCCACAGACTGCGGGTGTGGACGGACAGAGAGCGCAGCCGGGACGTGTCCCCGGTCCCGCGTGCGACTGACAAGTGATCGCCACCTTGAGGGGCGGGACTGGGCCTGAGAGCGCGGAGCATGCGCGACGCGCGTCCACGAGCCGGATAGGCTGCTGGGCGCCACCCGAGCGGCCCGCGGGGGGCAACTCCGAGTGAAGGGAAGCAGTTACGGCTCGGACCTGATGACCAGTCGGCAGTCAGTAGCTATCTGCTGCTGCTGTCCAGTAGCTGTCTGCTGCTTTGACTTCCCTGATATGCTACGCACGTTAGACAGCCAATCGCGCCTGTTTTGACTTCTCCGCTACACACCACGATCGCAACAGCCGGTCAGGCCATGTGTGTTTTATTTGTAAGGAAAATCACGCCCCTATTTGTGCACTTTTGCCCTTCCATAAGTTCTACATACATTGTGCATTTGACACTGTGCAATGGTACACAAAGGCGGTATCGTATTTGATCGAGGCCGTAAATACTTGCACCGTTTGTATTGTCTTTTTTAGACGAGGCGCCGAATTTGAGTTTACTCTGATTTGTAGGGAAAGGTGGAATGAGACGGCCTGCTCTGGTAAGACGAACCACCATCTACCAAATAGGTTTGTGAAACGCTCGCGAGATCAGTTCAATTGTAACTCCCCCCCCCCCCATACACACACACACACACACACACACACAAACGATCGAAAAGAAACTCATGTTTCTCTCGAGGCTCATTTATTTGTCCACGGCAGCAAAACGCTCGATCATTTTTTTTCATTTCACGGCGCAGTTTTCGTCCTGTCTTGCCGTCAATGGCCAAAGCCAGGACGCGCCGCACACCGGCCGGATTCATGTCCGGCCACCGTCGGAGCCGAACCCGCAGCTCGGCGGCCGTCCCCTCGGCAGCGGCAGTCGCCAGCGAAGCCTCCTCTATGTTGGCGACGCAGTGCCGCCAGTTCGACCTCCCTGGAGGCCGAGAGGGCCTCGGCAGCCTCCAGCTGCTGCAACACGGCGGACAGCGCCGCCGCCTCCCGGGCCAGGCGGGCCTCCCATAGGGCTTCCCGCTCGCCGGCTGCCCGCAGCCGTCTCTCCATATCGTGGAGTTTCCTGGCGGACGACCGGCGCTCCCGCTGGAGTGAGCGGGTTATTCCTTGAAGGAGTTCCATGAATGCAGCCCTAGCCTCCTCCGTGAGCTCAATGAAGGGAGACGGCAGTTTTATCGCCGCCCGCAGCAGCAGGAACGGAGTGAATATATCCCCGTTCCGTGCCCAATCTATGTACCGGGCACCGTCGTCCCGTAGAATGCGGGCACACGTATTAACGACCCTGAGGAGTGAATAAATGCACCGGCGTTAGGAGCGATCGATCAGACGGAACAAACCAGTGGTCAGATAACCGAAAAATGTTGACATCGTGAAGTGGAAAAAAGTAAACATAATGAAAGAAGCGATTTAGAGGCTACGCTTTTCAATAGACTAAAGATCGTATGATTTCAGGTGTTCGAACGTTGTGCTGAGCATTGTTAATAAGATTATTAGAAGGATGAAGAATAACCTGTTGCTCATTTCTATCAGAAATAGAAAAAAAAATAAACCAATATATATTCGGGCGTGGCCCTTCTTCAGTGGTACAAGATCACAATGGTTATTCTTCATCCTTCTAATAGACTAAAGATCGGCAGAACTTACCTTTCCATATCGGTGTTTGCGATTAACCGGTCCGGATGGATCGGGCCTGTGGCGTGCGCGGCCTGGCCACTGCCCCCCGCCACCGCCAAACACCGGCGTAGTAGCAGCGGGGTCCTCCACCGATTGCAGGTCGACCCCCAAGACTAGTTCTGGCAACCAGCGTAGCCGGCCGCGCTCGTCGAAAAGGACGGCGAGGTCCAGTGTAGGTGAGAGTTGGCGTCGGCCGCCCGTCTGCCCGTCTGGAGGGGGCGGGCTTTATTCGGCTCGGCACACCCTTTCTGGGACCTGATAGGCTCCCTGCGGCTGATACGTCCGCTAGGGTGCGCCGGGGAAGGAAGGTTGGGGGGGGGGGTGCGTGGGAGGTGATTCGACTGAAGACACTCCCTGCATTTCATACGAATACTTATTAGCCTGGGGAGCTACTCTACTGACACTTGTCAGGACTGCTTCGCTGTGCCTTCCTCTTCGCCGTGCCCGCCGTCCATCTCCGCAAACCAGAGGTGTTCTTGCGCCTGGTCACGGAAGCACCACGGTCCAAACTCGATAAGGCACGAGACGCATATTTATTTTACGGGACACTCTATATACAGTCATTTGGATACCATTTTATTGCAACTGTATCACAATTTTGACATCCACCAACAAGCGTGACCGCCTGGTGCGGCATCGGCGGCCGCACCAGGATCCCCAAGGGCGATGCAAGCGACCCTTCGGCCGGGGCCCTAACGACGTCGTCGCGTAGACCGACCATCCGCTGGAAACCGATGATTCCCAGTGGATCGAGTCTGGCCAGGTTGGGGCCGAAGTAAAGAGCCCACCAGGCGGCCGCCTCAGAGACGGCCAGCGCGTAGCGCCGCCATTCGTGGATCAACTCCTGCAAACACAACGTAACTGCGGTTAGCGAAAGATGGTACGGGGCTTATCTCATATCTGTAAGAATCTTGGTCCCGAGGGTTTACATAACCCGCGCCCCACTGGGGTCTGTAAAACACGCCCTACTGGGGGGGGGGGGCTATTCATAGCCCCCCTCCTAACTCCGAAACTACTGGGCCGATCGTCAAAATTCAAACGGCGTCTGATAGCCCCGGAAAAACTGTCGAGCGAAACCTAATTTCATTGACCTCGAGGTCACCGATGACGTCACAGGTCAGGCCAAAGTAAAAATTATTAGCACTTTGGCTTGTTCACATTTTGGGCTCTGGCCGCCGTCTTACAAGTCAGATCAGGCTCATTTTTGGTTTCCACACTCGTGAACAGATGCTCTAGATACCTTGAGGGTACCAAACTTGTACTTTGATTTTCAGGTCAGGGTCAGGTCATCACAGGTCACGAAAATATTATATCATGCGTCGGTCACGTGACACATGTTTTATGGTCCATTTAGGCCATAGATTTCGAATTTGATGTCGCCTATGTCATTCGAGGTCATTTTGAGTCGAATTTAGCTTAGGTCAGGTCACTTTCAGGTCAAAAAAGGTCAAATTTTGAAGTTGATATTTTTCAACAAAAAAGGTGTCTATTGGATGCAGTTTGAGCTCAGGAACACGATGGTGCCATTTATATTGGTGTACAATGCCAAATACGTACTGAAAAACTGATTTGAAAAATTAATAATTGTGAATTTTTTGCAATAATGCGTATAACTTGGCCATTTTTGAAGATATTTAGCTAAAACTTGCTAGAGTTAGTCATAATCATGCGTTCTGTCACATATATTCTGGTTTTTTCGAAAAGTCAAAAACTTTTTGAAAAAATATAAAAATATAAATTTTGAATATTATTATATAAATTTTTCGAAATTTTCAAAATTTTGAAAATCCGAGATAGCAGTTTGATAGCGCGGTCAATTCTGAGTTCTTTCATGCAAAGAAATTGGATCTAGCTTAAAAACTGAGCTCTTGGGAGCGATTGCCGTGGTTCAATGTTTTGCGTCGTAATCGGACGAACATGACGTCACTCTGACGTCATTTCCGGCCGACCTATGGTAGCTACGAAGTTCAAATTTTGACACAAGGTGTCAAATTGATGCAGCCGAAGGTACTGAAAGTTTGGCGTCGATCCGTCAAGCGGTTTGGAAGTTATTGCAGAAAAACGGGAGGGGGGGCTATAAATAGCCCCCCCCTCAGTGGGGCGCGTGATGCATACAGAAACTAATTAAAGGCATTGACGTCGGAGCTCAGATGCTAGGTCGGCGGCCGGTTCCTCGGCAGCGACAGTCGCCATGTCGACCTCTTCCAGTTGGCGACCCAGCGCCGCCAACTCGGCCTCTCTGGCGGCAGAGACGGGACGGGTGTCGGGACAGAGACGGGACGGGTGTCGGGACAGAGACGGGTGTCTGTCTACCTGTCTGTATGTTTTTTTTTTTGTCTCTGTCTCGGCCTCTGTCTGCGTTCTCCCTCTCTCTCTCTCTCTCTCTCTCTCTCTCTCTCTCTCTCTCTCTCCTCTCTCTCTCTCTCTCTCTCTCTCTCTCTCTCTCTCTCTCCTCTCTCTCTCTCTCTCTCTCTCTCTCTCTCCCTCTCTCCCTCTCTCCCTCTCTCCCTCTCTCCCTCTCTCCCTCTCTCCCTCTCTCCCTCTCTCCCTCTCTCCCTCTCTCCATCTCTCTCCCTCCCTTTCTCCATCTCTCTCTCTCGCTCTCCCTTTCTCTCTCTCCCTTCCCTCCCTAACCTCGCCGCTATTGGCACGGCATCCATCCCGACCTTCGGCCCAAGTGTTGTACCGCGCGGTGGTTTGTTAGGTTCTCCGATATTTCGTACCAAGATAGGAAAGAAATGAGTCAGTGCGTGCCGAGCACCAAAACCGTCAGGCTGGGGGACGAGCAGATATCTAAGGTATAAATCGAGTTGTTCGAGTGCGCAAGGCCCTATATACCCGAGTGCGTTGAGTCAGAAGCTTAATATGCCGCAGTTTCTCTCAGAAACCTCCTCAAGTCACTCTTCCGTTGAGCCCTGCCAGATGGACCCTCCAAAATCGACAAGACACATTGCGCGGGTTTATTGAAAACAAGGAACACTAGCACTCACAAAGAACGCGCACACTTCGCAGCCGCGCTACCATCGGGGCGGGGCGCCCGTCTGGTACGGCACCGGCGGTCGCACCAGCCTCACCAAAGGCGAGACTAACGATCCCTCGGCCGGGGCCCTCACGATGTCGGCCCCCAGGCCGACCATCCAATGGAAGCCTACGACTCCCAGTGGGTCGAGACCGGCCAGGTGGGGGCCGAAATAGAGGGCCCACCGGGCGGCCGCCTCCGATACGGCCAGCGCATAGCGCCGCCACTCGCGGATCAACTCCTGCAAACACAACGTAACGGCGGTTAGCGAAAGATGGTCTGGGGAAGCATCTTGGTCAGGGGCTTACATAACGGTACCCGCCCCGGAACGGACGGTGTCGGTGTCTGAATTATCAAACTTATCGAAGCGCAACTGATCGTGATTATGGAGTCTGGGAATGTTCCGGCTGGCTGCTGAACGGTCAGCGGCTCTAAGGGAGTCTGGGCCAGGAAAGAAATCCCTTCCAACACGTCTGCCACGAGGAATAACCAAACTACTGACCGCACTAGGGCCAGCTAAAAACACAAGAATACATTACGGCCCGGGTGTGCGCGACCATTGCGGATTGAGTGCACTCACCTCCCGGGTTAGGAGCTCCGGGTCGAATCAGAATGGCTGCGGCGACGGCGGGCCACTCGCAGAGCTGTAGCTGGAGGGAGGAGTCTTCCCTCCCAGTGCTCTGTGAATAAACCGCGGAAAATTTACCGCTTTCGTAAGACTGGGAATCAGTGACTAAATGGGAGGGCATATCGCGACTCACACACGCTCGTCAACTCAACACAAATGGATCGTCTAGAGGGATAATTCATTTAACAACTTCCGCGCAGTGCGGCGCACGTCATGGGTCATTGGGTGCACGCCGGCCGCTGCCTCCACACACCGGCGGAGTAGTAACGGCTGATGTGCTGGACGCGCCGCCACCTCGGCCGTCAGCCGGGCGACTTGGGCCTCAAAGCCCAGAATCTGGGCCCGAGCCTCCTCAGTCACTCAGGGCCTCAGCCTTGGTCTCGGTGGAGGTGAGGGCGAGCCTCCTTTTCATCTACCTGGGCTTCCAGCGCTGTAGCGCGTGCCTGGAGAATGGCGATTTCAGCTCCCGTCCGACGCTCTGCGGCCCGCAGGGCGGCCTCTGCGTCGGCAGCGCCGAAGCGGGCTGCTATGGGCCTGGCTATTGGCCTCTCGTGCCCGTCGCCGCTCCTTTCCGATGGCCGTCTCGGCCGATAGGAGACGGGCGCCCAATTCGTCGGCTCGGTCGGCGAGGCGCGCCCGAGCGGTTTCGGGTAGGTCCCGAAAGGGCGGAGGTAACAGGAGGGCGGCCCGCAGTACCTCCATTGAGGCCGGCCCATCCTGTTTTGTGGCCCAGTGGGCGTATTCAGCGCCGTGCCCCCGAAGGACCGTTGCGCATATATTCACGATCCTGTAGACAGACAGACCGGGGTATGGGAGATCAGAATACAACACTAGATTTGAATTGAATACGGGATTAGAAGGGGACGTTAAATTAGAAAAAAAAGCACAAAAAATTATTAAATTAAATAAATCACTGGAACACAACATGTGCGTGAATAAAGTGACGCAGGAAGGAGGAGGCAGTAAAACAGCACTAATCATGACTTACCTCGACAAGAATTCGTCGCCCGTGTGCCGGTCCGGATGCACATGACCTTGTAAGCGCCGGACAAGCCTTGCCAGATTGGTCCGGAATTCCGGGCTTGAGTTCACTGCGCCTATGTCAATACCGAGAACCAATTCCGGCAGCCACCGTAGCCGGCCCTGCTCGTGGCAGAGGACGGCAAGGTCCAGCACAGGCGGGGCGGCGGGAGCTTCTCCGGCAGGTACTGACTCAGCCATCGCAGAATGGAATGGTACAAATGATGTGGCCGACCCGAGAGATTCTTATCATTCATCCGTTTCAGAGAGATTCTCGCCCGGACGAAACCATTGGTAGACGTGACCGAGCGGGCCCGGTATTGGTCCCGGGAGGGCGGCGCGGAAGGCGCCCACCAATGAGGGGCGAGCGGGTTCCGGGTGCCGCCCCAGGGCACCCTATGAATAGTTAATCACCCGGGCGGGTTTGAAAAAAAAAAACGACGTAGCGGCTACGCTAAGTCGTGTAAGGGTAACCCTCGCCGGCCGAGGGGGGGGGGCATAGGTTTTTTCACGATAGCTCCGAACACGCTGGAGATAGAGAGCTGAAACTTGGCATACCTGACCTTTGATTCAAGCCAGATCTTTTGGCATCAACCGCAGTTTTGGGTCAGGTCAGGTCACTGACCTATGACGTCATAAGTGAACCTCTGCACGGTCTTCAGATGTCGCAACTTCGCAACGCCCTCACTGCCAGAGGAGATGTTACAGGGAAATGAAACTTGCAGGATCCAGTATCCATTATGAGTCTCACAATTTGTATCTCTCGGATTTTTCCTAAAGGTCATATGAGGTCAGGTCATTTTCGTGACCTCACCATTATAAGTCAATGGGGAAAAATGAAAACTGCTATTCTGGCGCCGGGAACGATCTCCAACTATCTCAAGCACACAGAATCGTGATTTGATGCACTCCTTGTAAGGTTAGATGCGTCACTTTTGCAATGTTGACCTTGCGTGACGTCATTTATGACGTCATCAAGGTCAAATTAGTTTTTCGTCAATAACTCTTGATCAAATTGAGCTAGCGAGTCGCGGAAGCCACCAATGGACTCAGGAAGACCTGCCGAATCGAATGATATGCGACATGACCTCTTTCGACCAACTTCGTGACCTGGGGGTGCTGACCTGACCTTGACCTGAGGTCAACACCCCAAGTTGACCTGGCCCGAACAAAAAGTATATCGTTCGACGCGCCTGAGCGAGGCGAACACGATGCTGCCAAAATCGCGGCTCTACGGCCGTTTTTTGCGAAGTTATTCAACAAAAACTGAACCGTACCTTGGGGCACTTGACCTGACCTCAGAGGTCACCGGTTGACCTAGGACCTTAACATCGGGTACCAATCTCTGCGTCTCGTAACGGCGCACACGCTCTTTTTTCCGTGACGCGCTAGCTCCACCAGGGGCGAAACGGCGAGGGGGGGTCGTACCCGCCCCCCCTCGACCTGTATGTAGAAAACCAATAGGTCCGGCGAGGGTTAAACGTCATTTTCTCAACCTCTGTGACCTGACCTGGTATCAGTGTCCTCGAATAGCAAAATATGTGTTTTATGGACAATCAGACACCGCCGTTTTGAACTTGGCGCATCATGACGCTCCGCCTGCGCACCTTTCCACTCACATCTCGTGTTTTGTCCATGTGTCCCGTGTTGGCAATTGTGCTGGCTTGTTTTGTGTCTGGGCTGCTCGGCAGGTTCTGCTGCCGAGTCCTGTCGCAGATGGTCGGTGGACGATCAGCGTGGGAAAGGCTGTGAAGCATTAGCAGCGTGGAGCCGAACAGCTTAGTTCCACCTCGACTTCCATCTGCATGCATATCAGAAGATGATGATGAGAAAGGATGATGGTAGGTATAAGTCACGGTGAGGGGTGCCAAATCGCTACCTTCATTTGCTTATTAGGCGTTTTTTTACGATAATATACCATCCTCGACTCGACATTTATGAGCCTCCTGACAGGTATGGTTGCGGTTGGTGGCAGGCCGTAGCCAGGCGAAGTCAGCGAGGGGACCGGCCGTGCGCGGCTTTGTGCGCACGTTAAACTTTGGACTCTAAATTCTGCCATAGAATCGGAATTGCGCGATCGGAGGGTAGAGGGCAGGGTCATCGCAACAAGCTTCGCTTAGCGGTGGCTCTGTCCTTGTGATTCCTTCCCATCAAAAGGTTCGGACTAAATTATTTAAAAAAAATCCTACTCCAATTTTCAAGGTTTGTTGCTGTGAATATTAAATGACATTTTTCTATCATTCATGTCACGACCAGCTGTCTCCATTCTCCAGCCGTTGAAAACGAATGCCCCTTGTGCCCCCAGAGATCCCTGAGCTGAAGTGTCCAGCTCGGCCGGCCCAGAGCGGGTGTAGTGCTGCCACCTGTACAGTACGATCAGCGCTGGCAGCGTCACCTGTGAACCGATACTGGAACCAGACCGGACCGGAGAGCTTCCTGTGGCACAGGGGCCGGGGCCGGGCCCGGCGCGGCGCGGCGGTACACCAGGATGATGCTGTACCGCATTGCGCGCTTCGATTGGGCATTCGGTGTGTGCTTTCGGTGTGTGCTTCGGTTATTTTATATGGTGATGGTGAAACATCATATTGTAAGTTCTATACAACCTACGGGCTTCAGCTGTAGGTATGTGCTTAGGAACCTATTTTGTTAGTACCTAAATGCCAATAAAATGTTATTTGTGTTTATCGTATGTCGCTGTGAAAAGGGTTATTGGGGATTGAAATGAAAGAGAATTGCGTTTTAAATTATCAAGTGGGCACCCATGTACCTTTTAACTAATCTCACAGCAATGTGATTGTAGTAAGCCAACACAGATACACTAGGTACCTATGGTAAAGACTTATCATAAGATGACTTAGTTAGGTATGCAGGCTGCAGATGTTGTCACTTGTCTCCTAATCATCTTTAACCCGCGCCCCACTGGGGTCTGCGTATAACACGCCCTACTGGGGGGGGGGGGGGGCTATTCATAGCCCCCCCTCCTAACTCCGACACTACTGGGCCGATCGTCAAAATTCAAACGGCGTCTGATAGCCCCGGAAAAACTGTCGAGCGAAACCTAATTTCATTGACCTCGAGGTCACCGATGACGTCACAGGTCAGGTCAAAGTAAAAATTATCAGCATTTTGGCTTGATCACGTTTTAGGCTCTGGCCGCCGTCTTACAAGTCAGACCAGGCTCATGTTTGGATCACACACTCGGGAACAGATGCTCTAGTTACCCTGAGGGTACCAAACTTGTACTTTGATTTTCAGGTCAAGGTCAGGTCATCACAGGTCACGAAAATATTATATCATGCGTCGGTCACGTGACACATGTTTCATGGTCCACTTAGGTCAGAGATTTCGAATGTGATGTCGTCTGTGTTATTCGAGGTCATTTTGAGTCGAATTTAGCTTATGTTAGGTCACTTTCAGGCCAAATAAAGGTCAAATTTTGAAGTTAAAATTTTTTAACAAAAAAGGTGTCTATTGGATGCAGTTTGAGCTCAGGAACACGATGCTGTTATTTATATTGGCGTACGATGTCAAATACGTGCTGAAAAATTGATTTGAAGAATTAATAATTGTGAATTTTTTGCAATAATGCGTAAAACTTGGCCATTTTTGAAGATATTTAGCTAAAACTTGCTAAAGTTAGTCATAATAATGCGTTCTATCACATATATTCCGTTTTTTCGAAAAGTCAAAAACTTTTTGAAAAAAAATGTAAAAATGTAAATTTTGGATATTATTGCATAAAATTTTCGAAATTTTCAGAATTTTGAACATCCGAGAAAGCAGTTTGATAGCGCAGTCTATTCTGAGTACTCTCATGCAAAGAAATTGGATCTAGCTTAAAAACTAAGCTCTTGGGAGCGATTGCCGTGGTTAATGTTTTGCGTCGAAATCGGCCGAACATGACGTCACTCTGACGTCATTTCCGGCCGACCTATAGTAGGTACGAAGCTCAAATTTTGACACAAGGTGTCAAATTGATGCAGCCTAAGGTACTGAAAGTTTGGCGTCGATACGTCAAGCAGTTTGGAAGTTATTGCAGAAAAACGGGAGGGGGGCTATAAATAGCCCCCCCCAGTGGGGCGCGGGTTAACACGCGCACCGACGGGGGGGCGGATATCCGCCCCCCTGAGGTTTTTCGCGAATAGCGGGAAAACTACGGCCGCGAAATTTGGTACTTACGACTATTCTCTCATCAATTTTACACATGGTTTGCAAGTTTGAACCTCCTAACTTTTAAGGTCAGGTCACCAGGTCACTTTGAATGACCCAACCTCAAGTCACTTTTTTGCAACTTTGCCACCGTGCCAGAGCTACAGTAGATGTCGGAGGCCTTTGAAAGTCACAGGATATTATAAGGTCATTAGTAGCTAAAATTTGTATATCTCGGAATATTGATACCGGTGACCTAAGGCCAGGTCAGTTTCTCGACCTACCCATTACAAGTCAACGGGGGAAAATCAACTCCCTGTTTTTACCACTAAAACGGGTCGGGATGGCCCCATATACCATACATGACTTCATATACGATCAACCTTCACTACCTTGAGGTCTGTTTTGCTGTTGGGCAGCTGTAAGGCCATGTGACGTCATCAAAGGTCACCAAAGGTTTTTTTGTCAATAACTCTGTACAGGAACAAGATACAGCCGCGCGGATGGTCTCATTGTGTTCAGCTCGTCAAGACGCATCGAAATATTATACATAATGACCTCGAGGTCACGTGACCTGAGGTCAACCTTTGACCTTAACCTTTTGAGGTCAACATATATACCATTCGATGCGGATTGACGAGAGGATCACGATGATGCCCTTAGTTTGTTCCTATCTTGACTAATTAGAAAGTTATTCGAGAAAAACTCTCTCCATAACTAGCGCCGCCATTTTGATTTTTTGACCCCTGTGACGTCATCTTTGATCTGACCTAAAAATGACCTGTGTAAAAATTGTAGACCTTGTCCGTGCGTATCCGATGCCGTTTACCGCTTGTCGCTATCTTGCCTCGTTCTCGAGATCTCAGGGGGGGGGGGGGGGGGTGGTCATCCGCCCCCCCCCCCCCGTCGGTACTAAGTTGCCGCAGACCCCCGTCGGTGCGCGTGTTAATCTTTTGGCGTTCCTCGACATGATGTTTTATGCTGTCATTTGTGGCTTCACAATGATTGTGACCACATTTCCCGTGCGTATAGTCGACTACAGAATGATGTTCCACTTTTCACAGGCAATTATTTGCCTGGATTAGTAGGCTGTGCCGCATCACACGGGCTGAGTTCACAAATTATAGCTTTGTCTCAATGCTCACAATCGACACGCTTAATTGCGTGACAAACGGCACAACTTATACGCTCCGGTCAACTGATAGCTTCTGAGGAGTGGAACATCATTCTGTAGTCGACTATACGTAGTGCGTAGGTACGCAGAAAAAAGTTGACTATTCAATCTTGTCAGAAGGAACAGAATACTCGTAAAAAACGAGCTTGCTTATCCATTTCTAGTATCTGAGACGTAAATAAATGACTTATCAAACTATAAGTCGAACGCAGTATCTACTAACCCGCATCCCGTTGGGGTCTGCCGAGCAGCGGGAGAGGGGGACATTTTGCCCCCCCCCCCCCCCGCCCTAAAATCTCGAGAACCACGCAACATGGCACAAGCAGCAAACGACCCAATTTCATTGACCTCGGTCTAACCGATGACGTCAGAGGTTAGGTCAAATGTCGCATTCTCACCGTTTACAGGCATTTCAAAAAATGTGTTATTAACTTATAAAATCGAGTAAAAGGGCATATTGTTGAAAGTCGTCGATACAAAATTGTCCAACAAACACATTATTTCCTATTTGAGGTCATTTATCCCTCGCCGGCCGAGGGGGGGGGGGCGGGTGCTGCCCCCATAGGTTTTTTTCGCGATAGCTCCGAACACGCTGGCGATAGAGAGCTGAAGCTCTTGGCATACCTGACCTTTGATTCAAGCCGAATCTTTTGACACCAACCGAATTTTCGGGTCATGTCAGGTCACTGATCTATGACGTCATAAATGAGCCTCTGCACGGTCTCCAGATGTCGCAACTTCGCAACGCCTTCACTGCCAGAGGAGCTTTCACAGGGAAATGAAACTTGCAGGATCTAGTATCCATTACGAGTCTCACAACTTGTATATCTCAGATTTTTCCTAAAGGTCATATGAGGTCAGGTCATTTTCGTGACCTCACCATTATACCTAAGCCAATGCACAGTGGGGATTTTTCCGATCTAGCACGTATTTATTCGTAGAGGGCAAACCATAGGTAGAATTGTAGCCAGATTGTGCACAGATGTTGGCTGGTGTGTCCTGGTGAGAATTTTACCTGTAAATGTGCATAATCAACATAGTATAGGGGGTTCAATTGGACCCCCCGCTCAGCCGTTTGGCCCCTGATCAGGCTAGAGCTTCGCGGAAAAGTCAAGCGTGCTGCCTATGACGAAATTAGGCCGAATATATCCAATTTCAAAGTCCAAGGTCATAAGCTTACTTTCCAAGTCAGTTTAATGACCCAACTAAAGTTGGGCAATCGAGACCTCTTGAAACTTCGCAAAGTTAGGGTGTTACGGGGTATTTTGGGGTGCTGATCACGAATTTCATGTTAGTTTTGATCACAGACGATGTCTTTATGCATTTAGGCCAGGTCGGGTCAGGTCAGCTTAGATCAATTAGTAGGCGTCCTGCCGGCCATCAATAGAAGTGTCACCTACTACTGATAGCTTCGTAACATGGAACGAAGGCACTAGAACTACTTCGTAAATATTCAAATGGCTGCTAAAATCGAAATCAGCACCAAAAACTACCCTAGAAACAAGTAAAACTCGAAAAAGTGAACCAAGGTCATCAAAAGGTCAATGACCTTGACTTGACCTTCACGTGACCTTGACTCCCACCATTATGCATGGCACCAACATCATTTCACATATTTGAACGTTTAAAACCACAAAAAGACTGGAAACCGCGGATAATGTGAGCTGGCATACGCCGAATCGCGATTCCGGCCAAACATTGCCTCGAGAAATATGCCACAGGTCAAAGGTCAGTTGGGTCAGAGTCATGAAATTTTTAGGTTAGATGTAAAATTGATGATCTCGAGGGCACCGAAAGTTTCAGCGCGATCGGCCGCTTTTTGCGCGAGTAATTTGCGGAAAACCATGGGGTTTTATCCGACCCCTTCCCCCTCCCCCTCCCCACAAGTGCGATGGTTAATAAGGTTACGGTATGTATTTTACGCTTGTCATCCTATTCATAATGAATGTGTCTCAGAAAATATGCATCATATAAATCACGAAGTAAAATTATTCGCCTATGTCCGGAACATACCTTTATCGTGCTGTTTGCCCTAGCGCTCCTCGAGTGGGGTGTTAAGATACTCTAATGTGAATATTCCGTGTTCAGGCAAGTTTCGGCAGCCAAACTAGGCGTTGTATTGTGCAGAAGAAAGTGGCGAATTCGATAGGATATATTTCGGAGTGGAAAAGTGTGGAGAACATTGTTGATTTCCTACATTTATTTAGAATACCATTCCTTCAATATGGTGTCTGTAAGGGTTTTTTGTAAAGGGCATTTTTGTGACCTTAGTAAGGTTGTGGCATACTTTCTGTTTGCCATTCCATTCCTAATAAAGGTGCCTTTCAGACGATATGCAACTTTAAGACCTCGCAAGATT